AAACAGTGGGTGAAGGTTCAAGGGCAGGAGACCTCAATTGATTTTGAAATTGACCAACATTATGACAACCATTCCTTTTCTGTTGTAGAGAGCTACAGAACTTAGAGGTTTAGAGGTAAGCATCGCAGCCTCTTCTGCTGGTATTTTCAGCGTTCTTACTACTCAAACCTTATTCACAAGGAAAGACTTCTAGAGGACAGTATTAAGTTATAAGAGAGGAAATATAACATTTGACCAGTCTACGGCAGTACAGTCTGTGAGGGGTTTACTGCTTTTGGGACCAACCCCAGGTGCAGTAGTTCCTTTTTTTTCTGCTCTGATCCCCCACCTGGGATAAAGCAGGACTTAAGGTCAGGAAAGCTGATAGAGAAAAATCTAAATTCACACAGCAGAGAAACGAAGCCTTCAATCCAAGCACTGGGTTCTTCACCCTTGAGAGAGCTCACCCCGAAGTCTCTAAGAAATTTACAATATGACAAGCTTTGTATGGAACTTTTTATGTCAATGTTATATAAAATAGGGATATTTATAGTTCATACTTAACAACAGCAACAACAACAAAACTCTCCTGCTATTGAGTCAATTCTGACTCATAATGACCCTTTAGGACAGAACAGAACTGACCTATAGGGTTTCCAAAGCTGTAAGTCTTTACTGAAGCAGACTGCTTCAACCTCCTTAAACAGAGTAACCTTTCTGTTAGCAGGTGAGTGCTTTAACCACTGTACCACCAGGGCTCCTTGATAGCTCATACTTGCCACTTATGAAATCCACTTATTAAGTCAAGGGCAAACGTAAGTGCCATATGATAGACATGAATAAGGGCAGGGGCATTGGTGACATGTATGCAGCCATACCAGTAGACCACTGTATAGTTCTTGCTGTATTTGGTATAAGTCCCACATCCCAAGATACAGAAAAACTGGAGTATTTTTGTTGGTAAATTATAAGAATTGTTAAATGATTCGATCAAATCGATGGAAGAATGGTTGAAGAACTTGGGGGCATTTGGCCTGGAGAAGGGAAGGTTGAAAGGAAGCCACAACAGGTGTCTTCAAGACTAGGAGTGCTGACACAAAGTCCTGGCACATGCAACAGTGATTAACTTTACTTTGTATACAGAGTTGGAGAGAATCGGGACCAGTGATTAGAACTTACTGGAACACAGGTGTTGGCTTGATGTAACATGGTCACTTCAGAGATACAATGACTGCTTCAAAAGATAACTGTGTTTTCTTTCACAAACATTTGCTTATACATGTAACCAGAACTGGAGAGCCACTTGAAGGTACACAAAAGACACAGGGTGAGCCAAGAGTTGGGCCCAGATGACTGTGAAGGTCACTTCTGATCCTGCAATTCTGTTTCTTTCATTCTAGCAATTGATTTAAGACAATCAGCTGGATTTCTGTGTTTAATCAGGCACAGAAATGCTTTGTCATATTCAAACTTTGAATGCTGCCAACACTGACATTAACCAAATTGATAAAAACAACATGATAAGCCACAAAATAATAAGTCCTTTTATAGAAATCTTTAGGCAGGTAATAAGCTGTTTCTTTCCTCTCCTGTCTCACAGCTCTGTCTCCTGGTCAAGAGAGCCACGCGAACATGGACCTCCCGCCCGTGTCGGAGCAGATCCTGCAGACTCTGAGCGAGCTCGCCAAGTCTTTCCAGGACATGGCTGACCGCTGCCTGCTCGTCTTACACCTGGAAGTCAGGTATGGCAGGCAAGCCCGGGGCTTTGCGATTCAAAGGCACTGGATTCATACATACTTCACTTGCGTATTTGCTGAGAAGATTCACCATTGTGTTTGGTTCCTATTGTTGTCATTATCCATTTCTTCACTGGAAATTGTTGTTCATGTTAATCACTCTTAAGGTTTTGGAGCACACGCTTTGTTGGGAGTATGGTGATGCGAGAGTTTACATGGCCTATCAAATCAGGAAGACCTAGAAGTGAATGTCTCTGCCAGCGGCCTCTGTGATCTTAGTTAATTAACTTTACTAGCCCACGGTTTCCTCGTTCTAAGAAGGGAAACAAATTCCTAACTTACAGAGATTTTATACGTAAGCTTGTATTAGCACAATGCCTGCTGCACAGTAAGTGCTTTGTGATTATGGTTACTTTGTTGTCTTTGATGCTTTTATTAAGGTACCTGCTAGTCAAGGAGTGTGTGGACATAAGAGTCATGGTCCCTTCCCTCAACGAATTTAAAATCCAAGAGACGAGATGAAGTTAACTAATAATTCAAGGAAATCGTTTCTAAGGTGCCATATTCTTGAGCTCTTATTTCTTCCCCTGCCTGCACAGTAAAATATTCTCATCAGTTTTGGTAGCCCATTATTATACATACAGAACTGTAGTAGGGAAGAACTAGGAAGTCCTCAGCCATTCATTCATTCACTCATTCACCAGATATTTACCAAGTGCCTACTGTGTGCTAGGCAGTGTTCCAAGATTCAGCCAAATTAATAAAAACAACAGTGAGCCAACTATTGAAAGTCCCCGCTCTCATGGAACTCACATTCTAATGGGAAGAGATAGCCAATGAGCAAACAAAACAGATAATGTCAGGTCAGTACAACTGAACTAATAAAATAGCATGATGGGATTGAGCAGTGCCATCCAATTGAAGTATAAGGTGAGCTACAAATGTGAGCCTCATTATGTGATTTTAAATTACAGAGCTTGTAGAAAGTGGCCACATTAAAAAAAGAGAAAGAAGCAGGCAAAATAAATTATAGTAATATATTTTATGTATCCAAAATATTGTCATTGCAACATGTAATTATAAAAATGATTAATGTGATAGTTTGTGTTTACCTTTTTTCAAACCATGTCTTTGAAATCCATTGTGTGTTGTACACTTACCCTAAAAAAAAAAAATAAACCTTAACTGCCATCGAGTCGATTTCAACTCATAGTGACCCCTCCTTGGGTTTCCGAGGCAGTATCTCTACAGAAGTAGATTGGCCAGTCTTCCTCCCAAGGAGTGGCTGGTGAGTTTGAACCGCCAGCTTCTGATTAGCTGTCAGGTGCCTTAGGCACTGTGCCACCAGAGCTCCCAGCATATCTCAATTTGGACTCGTCCATTTCAAGAGCTCTATAGCTATGTTGCTTGTACCTACTGCACTGGGCAGAGGAGGGATAGAGTGTGCAGTTAATGATTGATGGCATCTAAGAAGAGGAATTTTTCTTTCTGTAGAGTGTTCAAAGGAAATATGTCAAAGTGACAAAAGGAACCATCTTTATAAAAACTTGTGAGAAGAGAGTTTCAGGCAAAGAAACAGTGCTCGTGAAAGGCCTGAGTGAGCTGGGCAGTTTGGAGAAACAGAAGGAAGCTCCCATACGATTGTAGCAAGTAAGCAGAAGAAAGGGTAGGACACAGAGACAGACTGGAGCCTGATCATGTGGGTCATGTAGCCCTACAGCACAGGGTCTTATAGACCCACCTGGATAGTTCAAGTTTTATTCTAAATACCTTAGCAAGCCATAGGGAAGTTTTAAGTGGGTGTGGTGGTTAAGTTTGTGTGTCAACTTGGCTAGGCCTGGTTGAGTGGCTGGGCAGCTGGATATAGTATTCCCCATGATGAGACTGGCAATCAACTCCACGGTAGAATCTACTGTGAGCAGCTGAGTAGCTGCCTTTGGGTATGTGGTCTGCTTCCTGTATATATGAAGCAGCTTTGGGAATGGTCTCTAGCTTATGACATGCTTGGACCCTGCATGTAGCCATGTCATTGTTCAGTAGCCTGCCATGCTGTGCCAACTTTGGGACTTTCAGTGGACTAATCAATGGCCTGCCATGTGGTTTGGTAATCAGGACTGTGCCATTTTATTTGTCAACCTTGGGCCTGTTAGCCTCAGCAGCCAGTAGCTGCCTGAGTGAAGAGATGCCTCTAGCTTCAGTGGGCCGAGAGCAAGAGGCAAAGCTGAAGCCCAAGGTCAAGGGGCTTTCACCCAGCCCCTTGAGCCTTGTACTTTGAACTTGGAATTCTTAAAGCCTCCAAACTATAAGAGAATAAACTCCTATTTGTTAAGTCCATCCCATTTGTGGAATATTCCTGTCAGAGTGGCACTAGGTAACCAGAACAGCAGGGAAGAGATACTAACTAATTTACATTTTCACAGAATCACTCTGGAGATGATAGACAGACAGACAGACCATCTGTCCATCTGTCTGTTCATCCATCAGACCAACCACTCTGGAAAGTGGATAGCTGGGAAAAATAAGTATGGAAGCAGGATGACCAGTTTGAGACCACTGATGGAAGTGTGAAAAGTGTTGGATTTGGGACATCTTGTGAAGGTCAAGCCAGAAACCAAATCGACTGCCGTTGAGTCAGGCGGAGCTGATGAGTTATTGGTAGATTGGATTGAGCAGCGACTGGTGACAGTGAGAGAAAGGAAGGAGTCAGTAAAACTACCAGGTTTGGGGTCAGCACCTTTGGGGTGCTAGACCATTAACTGAGGGTGCAAAGAGGAGAAAGGCTGGGGAGGGGTGGGAATCAAGAATTCCACTTTGCAGACATTAAGTTTGAGATGCTCTTAAACACCGAGGTCACGTGTCAAATAGCCAGCTGGGTATATAGTTTTAAACCCAGGATCAGAAACCTCAGGACCGAAGGGTATGTAGCAGCACGCTTCCTTCAGTATTACTGTGGGTCTTCGTTAAAGTCAAGCATAGCAAGGATTGTGAGGCTGGCACAGGACCAGGCAGCGTTTCATTCTGACATACGTAGTGTCACTAGGAGGCGGGACCAACTCCACAGCACCTAACAACATTATTGATCTCAATCAGAAACTTTTGTTTCAAATATCAAAGAGTTGGTTCTTCAGTAAACCTTTAGAGTATGTTTGGACCACAGTTAGAACTTAGGTCTTTCTCTGGTGTGCCCAGGCAAAGCCCGATGAACAATGCATTGTTGATGTCATTACTTTTAAGTGCCACTCGATTCTTCATTCTTCATGATCTTATCCAATGAGTTACTTCTTTCTCACTTCAGTATCTGTGAGTGGCACGAGAGACGTAGCATTGCAGATTTGGAATCTGTTTTACTCAGGACTATTTCTGTTCTTATTTCTTACATTAGGCTGTCCAGAAATGAAGACTCTTTCTGTATATTTTTCTGATTTGTTTTATGATAATTTTTAGGTTTGTTTGCTATTTACTTACAAGCTGACAGTGAAATAAATCAGGTGTTTTCTGTGAGTAGATAAACAGACTACACTGAAGGAGAAACAACACTCAGTGACATTCGGGTGCCCACTTACCTGGACTGCCCAGAAAAACAGAGAGAACACCAAAGTAATCACTCCCACACCTCCCAGAGTTGATACTATTGATTGTGAGTGTGTGATACGTTCGTTCTACATTCAGAATCGTCTGCTTATAGTGGAGTTAATTCCAAGTGGGATATTTTCCACACGTTTGCATGAGATCTTTTAAATCCTGAACCTTGTTCTGCCCTTTTCATTTTTGTACATCTTGCCAGTATTATTCTTGGTAATGCTGAACATGTTTTAGTCATTATTTATTAACTTTACAAGAAACCATACGGTGCTGAAGCACCCGTTGCTCTATCTCTTTCAACATTGGTTTGCAAAGATGAAGTGGCATTTAAAACCAGAAGAAGGTGATTTGAGGAATAAATAACAAGAAGACTGAATTTACAGTGCGAGGATTCAGAATTATCTTTCCTTGACTTTCACGGAGAACACTGAAACATGTTTATTCTTTCTAGATTAAATTTCTTTGCCTCCTCATATAACATGGCTTCAACATTCTGGTTGCTTTCTTAGGAATAAGCTCCATGTTATCCTTGTTCCTTTTAAAGGCTGGTACATAAAACTACTCCCTGAAGAGCTCAGATAGTGAGTGTTGACATACTTAGTCATTCCTGGCCAAATTAACAAGTTTTTTATTGTTGTTATTCATACAGTTGATGATACAAAATTAATAAGACACATATATCATACAAATCATTATAACATAGTACAGCCATGCTGTAATAGGGGAGGCCGCTCTGTGCTTGGGGTACCCAAAGAGGGCTGACAATGGAAGACACTCTGAGCTCCAGGAAGAAAGGAACCAAGGTACCTTGTTCACTGTCATGGCTTCAGAACCTGGGTCAGCCCTCCTGCATATTTGGTGCTCATTTAAAACCCGATTGGCTCTTGAGCATTAACTGGTTTGAAACTTAGATCAAGTAAATGCTGTTTTGTCCACTTGAAAAATAGGCACATGTGTAGGAGTTACAGAGAGTAGGGGCCACCATCACCCTTGGCATCACAATCAACTGATGGTTCCCACCCTGTCTTAAAAAGAGAGTTAGAAGTAGTTTGATAGTTCCTCAAAAAGTTAAAAATCAAAATAACATGTGATCCAGCAATTCCGCTCCTCAGTATATACCCAAAAGTATTAAAAACGAGATTCAAATAAATTCATGTATACTTGAATGTTCATAGCAATATGATTCACAGTAGCCAAAAGGTGGAAATAACCCAGGTATCTGCCCATGGATGAGTGGATGAACAACATGTGAATAATATTATCATAAAGTATTATTGAACCATAAGAAGGACTGAAGTACTGATACATGCTACAGTGTGGAATGGATAAACTGAAGAAACATCATGCTGAGTGAAAGGAGCCAGGCACTAAAGGCAATAGGTCACATGTTACGAGATTCCATTTATGTGAAATAGCCAGAATAG